CCCACAAGCAAGGGGGGGGGGGGGCTTTTTATTATCCAGTGACTGAATATTCCTCAGAAAGTCCCTTTTCATGCTGTAACAAACCTAGTGGTCAAGCAATTGGAATATTTGGCAGATGTGACACTGAATATCTGTTCTCAGTTCATATTGGATTCTCTGCCTGAGAATGGATGGTTAGAGGCAGGTTGAAAGTCAGACATGCTGTCTGTCACTGCAATACAGACTTGTTGAGGAACCTGGCAGATGATGATGGCTACATATAGCTTATAACTGATTTTAATTTTTTAAATTTTCATATTTTATTGCTAATTTACATTTTTACTGCTACTAGAAGACAGTGGTTTTCTTGTAGTTCCCATGGCATTTCATTTTGTTTCTGTTGAAGCAGAAGAAAGAGGGTTCTAGACCCAGCAGAGGAGCAGTGGAACAGAAACCTCATTTTCCTTCAGTACATTTATTCATTATAAGTGGGATGCTTGGTTTTCTGCTTCTCATATTTTGCAAATAAATAGGACGAGCCTTTGTTCTTAAACCATTTTTTTTTCTCCATTTGGTGTAAGCATGTGCATTCTCATGCATTTGTACACACCCAGCTAAGCGCCTGCTGAGGCATAACTCCTACACCTGGAGCAGCTGTAACTACTTTCCTAACTAGCAAATGCTGCATGACAAAGCAGAAGACTTCAAGGATTCTCCAATCTCCTTTATTTTTTACTTTTTTTTTTTTAATTACTAATGTGAGTATCACAGTGCATGATGGTATCACACAGAATGAATCCCTTGAGTAATTTTTAACTGATACATATAAGCTTTTGAAATGGTATTTTTCTTTCATGGCAAGAGCACAATTATATTGGTATTTTCACAATTCTATTTCAGATGACAAGAAGCAGATGGTTGCAAATGTTGAGAAGCAGCTCGAAGAAGCAAGGGAACTGGTACGTTTTGGCTTTTCATATGTTAACTGCAAATTCCTAGGGAAAATAATAGGATTATTAGTGGTAACATTTAACGCACATGATGCCATAAAAATACTTAACAGTAATATATTAGAAAATGAAATAATATTTTTGAAATAGTTTTTATTTGAGGATATGAAATACCTAAGAGGAGAGTATCCTTTGTTAATCTTGTGTTAAGTGATTTAAGGTTCGCATTATTGGTGTAAGCTGTTACAGGTTGCTACAGGCTTTGAGCTGTAATTGAGGTCTTTTACTTTAGGAATTGAGTGAAATATTTACACAGCTGGACTGTTTGGTTTTGTTTTTTCTTGTAGGTCCCACGTATCTACTTGATTTAATCTTTCTGATTGTCTTGTAGAGCAGTAGATCTTTTTTTTCTCTTTTAGCAAGTGAGGAATAAAGATGTTTAGTTGTTTGAGGCCAAGGGGGCAATGGTAGTGTGGGTTATTGATCTGAGAAGAGTACATACGTTAACCAAGCATTAGTGGTCTATGCTGACGACAGAAAGCAATATGTGTTAAGCAACTGTGACTTTTTTTTTTTTTTTACTTTGTTCCCATTACAGCCTGTCACGTCCTCCATCTGGATGGAGTATAAAAGTAAAGTTTCGTAGAGGCGGAGTAACTGAGCAAAGGTGTTGGTGACAGTTGAGATTCACTTTTTCCACATAGCCAATAGTCCCTTGCCTGAAGTTACTTTTGTTTATTGCTTGTGAATGAGTTTGCTCTGTCTAGTGTCGAAATGTAACTGACTTTTAGGGTAGGGAAAAGAAATTAGTTCTCCTAGCCTGAAAGTTTTTATAATTGAGCAACTTGAATCAATGATTTGGTTGCTAACTAAATAGTAATACTGAAATTCACTTTTTTAAGTGGCATAGGAAGAAAAAGATCTCTAGAGTGTTTGTTGACATACCTGGTGCTTTTGGTTTAAGAATTGAATTAGTGTTGTAGACCAGAGCATTGGAGTAGCATCCAGGAAAGCTGGGTCTTGGGATGACTCCACTGCAAGTTTACCCTGTGAGGATGGCAAAGTGCTAACATCTGTGATTTGGTGTTCTCAGTGAGAAACATGGTAAAATTACTGTCCCATCTCTTGAGGATGTTCTGAAGATATATTAAGGCCTTTTGGGCCCTTTACATATTGAAACAGCTGAAAGAAAGTAAAAATCTAGAAATGTTTTTCATCTCCTTTTCACTGCAGCTTGATGTAGCAAAAAAGCATAGCAGTACAGGGAAAGTGTAGCATGGGTGGTCTGATGAAAAGTCATTCAAATTTGGTTTTCTACTCAAAGTAAGATTGGAAGGAGCAGAAATTGAGTTAATGGCTCATTACATCTCTCCTTATGTCAGAAAAAGATCGTCTAAATTTGTGTTTATTGTAAGATTAAAAATTAAATCCTGTATTTGTACTTTTATCCTAATGATGATCTTCATTTAATGTACTGGCTTTTCTTTCACGCTTTTGTTTTAGATCTTGTTGCTAATGCTGTTAGACAGGTGCTTAATTCAATTATTGCCTTTAAGCAATTACCTAACATGCTTGTGATTAATGTCAAGGCTTGAGTTTAAAAATCAATTTGAACAAGCCTGCTAATAACAGAACTGATTAAATAGATCCTCTTTTAAAGTAAAGGCTACAGTAGAAAATCAAAATAAACCTAATTCCTTTCTACTGTCAGTTTTCATACATTGGTTTGCTTCATTGTCTCGGATAGTCAAAGCTGGATTTAGCTGATTTTGTTTTATTTCCTACTTGGCTAGGAAATAACACTCTCATGTATTATAAATATTATTGTAGAGATAATTTATTTACATTGACTAACCATTGATTGTTTTAAAACACTGTCTGCTTTGTTTGGGTAAAATCGCTGGTGTAATTGATTTGATCTATGTGCAGAACTGACACTGAAACTTTCAGACTCCCAGGCTGCCTTTTCCAACCAGAGCTGCTGAGTAAGAGATCTCTGGAGAGAGATCCTGTCGTTCCACATCCCATGTGGAGTTTCCGAATGTTATTTTTACCAGGTTTTTAAGAAAGGTGAATGTTGTGATAACCTTAGAGAAATTCTTTGAGTGTAGAATCTAACATGTGCTAAAAGAACTGGAATTAGCATTTTTGAACGAAGTTTTGCTTTTAAGAAGAGGAATGTGCATTATTTGCCTTTATATTTTATGAGGAACACATCATAAAATTGTTGTGTTGTAAATGCTCGGTTATTCTTATCTAGACACTTGGCTTTTTAATAATGCACGTAAATTTAGAGTTCCAAATGGTAGGTTATTCTTATTTAGACATTTGTGGTTTTTAATATAGAACTCTATTTTAGTTCTAGGACTTCAGAATCAGAAAAAAATAGCAAAGCTTACAAGTTTCATGAAATGCTAGCAAAGCCCCAGAGCAATTTCCATGTGGAAAAGTTCCTGCGGGAGGAGGAGACTTTTTGGAGCCTCAACGGACATCAGCAGCAGAGTTACTTTATCTTGTATTTTTGAATGGAAGTACTAGTGCCTGCTCTGCTTTATGCTGTATTCAGTGCTGGGAGTGTATTGCGTGTTGTTAGGAGCAAACCTACTAGGTTAAACACCTGGGGAGCCATAAGGATGGGGCCTGGGTTATGAATTGGGGCAAGAGTTAGGTGCCAAAATACTCAGCTTCACCACAGTAGTGGCAAGTTGGAACATAAGCAATAACAGAAGTTTGAGCTTTTAGATTTTCTGAAGAAAACGTGAGCTTCTACAGATGTTTTGAGATTTAAGTGCTGGGTTATTTTTAGCTTTTAGTAGAATTTAGCTCTGTTCTTGCTTGTGTATGAAAAATATGATTTTGTGACCAATAAAATGAGGCCTGAAAGTGAAGATGCATGAAATTAGGTTGCATTCAGGTTCACACCTGCTTGGACCACTATCTTCTGCATGACTTTGCATGGAATTTATCAGCCCAACCACAAAATGTACCCGTTTAAGCTCATGATGACAAAAAAGTTAAATGTCAGTCAGCCTGAATATGCATGCTTCATCATTGTTCCTTGGACCTTATACTCTCTGATACTGACTCTTTAGAATGAACATTTTGAATTTCATGGACTGTGGTCTGATCCTTGCTGCAAATTCTGTATTCACTGGGAGATGGTTTCATTTTTTTATAATATATAAGAATTGAGACTTCATTAAAGTATCTCGACCTTGCACATATAATTTTTTATATATATATATGAGGAATGTTTTCTATGTTTATAGAACACTTGAGATCAAATATATTGAGATGAAATTGATAAGAAATAAGCTATTAACTCCAGCTATCAGTTTAATTTATAATACCCCTTTTGAAAATTAAGCAAGCCTGAAGCCAAAGAGCTGTGTAGAATTAGAACTTGCTTTGTCTATTTCAATTCATTACTGACTATTTAATTAAAATCTGCTTTACAGTTTATTATTGAATATCATTTTGTTTAATCAGAATAGATCAGGCGGAATGACTTTTGAGTATCTGGTAATTCCATTGATTAAATTCAAATGCTTTTCATATGATATGAGGATGAAATTTCAAAGTGTAAGCAAATGATCACATAGGGATAAACTGTAGCTGTCCCCTGTGGAGACCTGTCACCAGTAGCTTGGGACCCTAATTGAAAGGCATTTCTGTTCCAATGCCATATTGCTCAACTGAGATCAGTAGGAGGTGAGTAAATATTGTTTCAGGTGCCTACAGCAACGAGCAGAGGTATTCTTGTATCTTTTTAGAGTAAGTTGGAAAGATTTTAAAAGGCAGGTAAGGGATTCTTCTGCTGTGCACTGTGCAAAATAGAATTTCTGAACAGACAGCACCGTGTAGTGGAGGCTCCATGACCAGGTGGGTAATTAGGAGGCAGCTCAACCCTGGTTTGTAACTCCTTTTGATTTTCTGTCCCTCTGTGCCATATTCTTGTGTTTCAGACCCCTGAGTATTCTACATGGCAAGAATAAGTAGAAAAAGCTTTTGAAAGATGTATCTCTGATGTTTTAATGCATTTGACTGTATACAAGTTCTTGAACAGTATTGTCATTAAACCCTGAAATTCAGCTATTTAATATACCTACGTACAGATTTGGGATGTAGATTTAGGCAGTCAGTTCAGGCTTTGTAATTCTGCTGAGTAAGCAGTATTTAAAAAAAAAGAATTATTTTATTAAACAGAGACTGGTGGTAAACAAAACTTTAATAAAACTTTAAACATGTATATACACACACACACAGGTATATACACGTATATATATACACACATGCGTGTGTGTATAAAAGCAAATACCCTTTCAGGTAAGGGTTTCCAAAACCACACGGCTAGGTGGAGGTAGGCTTTCTTCTGAACTGTACTCATTTGCAGGAGGTTACTTAACCTCAGTTTTACTATTTTCTTGTAATAAAATGTATTCATCATGTTTGGAATTGAAATCCAGAAATGTTTGACTAGAATCATTCCTTCTAACTGTTAATAATATTAATTTTTGTCACTTGTTTGTTGACTTAAGGCTGTGTAAAGATTTTGATAAATGGTTTATGTATTGCAGAATAACTTTTTTTTTTATAAAGAAGGAATATTTCTTAGTATTTGTGAACAATTTAGGTAAATCTATCCTTGCTTTAATTACCCTTTTGATTTACATGTCTCTTCTTTGTTTTTACTTGCTAGCTTGAGCAGATGGAACTTGAAGTTCGAGAGATCCCACCTCAAAGCCGAGGAATGTACAGCAGTCGAATGAGAAGCTACAAACAAGAAATGGGAAAACTTGAAGCCGATTTCGTGAGTTTTTAACATATTACATGAAGAGGGCATCTATGAGAATTTTTTTAATATAATAATGCAATTATTCAGGTAACTGAGAGGGTATTTTTGACTAGTGTGAGAGATGAGTTCTACGTGTATCTTGCTGTATTTATGGACAGATGAAAACCAAACTGGGGAAGAGAAGCTTTTCTTTTTGTAGCAGTCTCATACCAATACTCAAATTGCTAGCCTTCGGTCCCTTTGCCCTGGATCTGAATTGTTTCTGTGCCATTAAACATTGTGAGTGTTCATGCTGTATTAAAAATAGTCAGCTTTTAATCCTATTTCTCAAGGAGTGACTGGTAGAACATCAGAATTAATACTTAAATTATAAGGTAAGTATAGTCTGAGTGGAAAATAATGGTTCATATAAGACAGCTTGTAGTAATGTGGGCAGTAACATGAAAAGCAATATAATCTCCAATGCATGGAATTTTTGAATGTGGTTTATCTCGTGCACTTCATTTCTTAGTCTCTGTGATTTCTTTTCTATTGCACTTAGATTCTTCTTTTTTTTTGTATAAATCAGTTATAAATACTACATTTTTCAAGTAATGGATGCAAACTAACAAGATTCCCTTGTCTAGGGGCTTCTGCTACAGTTATCAGTCCTTTTTTGTGACTAGGATTTGCACTGAAGAGATTTACATAAAGACAAAACTGTTTCCTTTAAAATCATGAAAAACTTCAAAGGAATTGCAAAGTGTAGGAAAATGCTATGTTAATTGGCAGCAGCTTGGTTCCTCCAAGGTAGGGAGAAATGACTGTTGGCAGTAATTTCCATTCACTGGAGAACTGTGAATTTTCTGGGGTTGCTGGCAGCAGTTTATTCCTTCAGGGGAGGGGAGTCAATGTTTATACCTGCAGCCAGGAAATCCAGCTGACTGTCACTCCTCTGTGCTTCTGCCAAGTTGAGAAGTCACACAAAAATGTATTAGTTAGAAGATGGTTGTAATTTAGTTAAGTTTGAGGAATGTTAGGATAAAAACACTTGCATCAAAGTTTTGAGACAATCTCGTGCCATTCCTCTGTAGGAAGGGCCTATGGCCATACTGGCCAAACAGTGACTTCCAGGAGAGAGCAATTTCTGGACCAGTAGTGAATGCTGGTGATCTTCTTAGATGTGGGAGAATTTGCTGTCAGCATATATTTGTTGCTGGCTTATTTCTCTATGTAGGCAGACAGGGGAATTGGTAGTTCCATGTTCCTAGGTAATAGGGAATGGGAGAGTTCAGAACCGGACACTTGTTATGGGAGAGGGGAAATGAGCATGCGTGGAAGAAATGCATCAGAGCAGTAGGAGTTACATCATCGAAAGAATGCGAGTTTGTGCTTAGAGCAAAGGAGCGAACACAACATGAGAAAGAGGAAGGAAGAGATTGTAATAATGGAGGAAAAAACCAAAAGTTCAAGGATGACATTCAGCAGAAGATCAAGGAAAGAAAGTGGAGTGAGGGGATGGAGCAAACACAATAACAGCTATGCTTGGAGAAATCTCAGCTATATAGAAAATAGTGTTGTGGCAACTAAATTCTCAATGTAATTCTGATTTCTAAGTACTAACATATTTCTAAGTTTGTATGTGAAGGTATGAGAATTGATTTGGATTATTCTCCAGTCAAATAGCAACTTGTTGGAAACCATAAAACAAAATGATTCAGTTTTGAGTTCAAAGGGGGAAGAGGAGGAAGGAAATATTATTTTGACTTTATATGCTGCAGGGCCGCTGAAGGTACGAAGTTAAAAATTTTTGCTGAAATTAAAGTGCTTTTGAGTGTTCTGCCTGAATATTTTCCTGAGTGAGTTGTGACCTATTTGACTGTAAACAAAGCGTGTAGCATTTAATGGAAGAACTTTAGCAGACCTTTAGGGAAAGCAGATCTAAGTACTTTTAAAATGAATTCACTTTTATAGATGAAATTAAATTCTTAACTGGAAGTGATACTGGCAATTTTGGGTTATGATCAGCTTACAGGTTTGCTGGTTAAAGTTTTCCATTCTTCCAAAAGGCACGCAGATATGAGCTTGCAAAGTTAAGTGTTGTTATTTGTCAATGGAGTTGGAATCCCAGCTGGATCTCACTGTATTTGGCTTGGCCTGTCTTCCTGTGGGAAGTAGCGTGTGCACTGAGCAGAGGACATTTCTCAATCATCTTGAAGTGTGTGTTTCATTTTAAAGAAATGATGTCTGGGAAATGAATTGCAAAAATTTGTATAACTCAGTATACAGTCTTTTTCATTAAGTTCTGTATTTGAAACATGAAGTGAATGCAGAACTGGCCTTGGTAGTTTTTGTTTATATTCATCATAACAAACATGAGTTTTGATCTTGTGGTTCTTTGCACACCTTATAGCAGCTTGAAAATTTGCCCTCACCCAAGCAACATATTTAAAAGTTAGGAGAAGGAAACATGAAGTATGTGGCTCTCCACCAGGATGGACAATGACAGGGTTTATTTGTGACATGTAATTTCTAATTAGTGAGTTTATTTGATCTTGGGCAATATGTATAAAAATGACAAAACATTGGACCATCACTTTGTTATTATTTACTACATAGTGCAGCATCTTAATGAATACTTAGTGGTTTTTTCCTAAGCACTTTACTATACCAGAAGTATATTCTGAAAAAAAAAACCAGATTTGAGCTTAGTTGAGCTGTACTTTGAAAAGTTACTCCAAACATAGCTTGTTTGTCTCTAACATTCTAATCAAATAGGAACAAGTTGCAAATAGGAGATTTATTTCCCCTCATTGCTAAGCCTTGCTATCTGGAGTCATGCCTGCGGTTATTTATCGGTGCCCTGCAGTCCAGAGGTGTGTGTGGAGGCAACGACATCTACCCCATGCACAGTGTTACACATGGGTAGCTGATAACCCACTAATTGCATTAAATCATATCTGAGGAGAAAAAGCCACCTTGCTCCATCTTGGCCCTCCCTCTTGGAGAGGAACAGTGGGAATGAAAAAAAAGAATAGCTCAATTTTGTCATTAAAATTACTCAGCGTAGCACTGTGAATATGGATGGGGAAAATTAACAAAGCACGCATTGCACCTCAACTCAGAGCAGCAGCGGTTTCTGATGCTTGCCTCTGCTGTGCAGTCTTCCACGAGGAGCAGATGCCTGGGGAGAAATATAAGAATAGGGCAAGCATAAAGTGATACGTTGCAAGAAAAGCTGTATACACCTCAAAAGGTGAAGTTTCAGCCTTGCTGACTGCGTGTGATAAATGTAACAAAACAGAATAAAACTATGTGTTAAACCTTATGCTGCCTTTTTTAACTTGCAGATGTAAATCTTGGTTTTGTGATCTTATTTTCAATAGTAGATACCAGTACTGCATTTTCATAGCGAAGTTTCATTCCTGTTAGGCCTGGAAAGCTGTAGTCCCAAACCTGGGGGCTCCTGCACAGACCACGCTCTCTGGGCTGCCAAGACTGTGGTAATGGCTCTATCTTGTGGCCCGACGTGGAGTTGCAGACCGTGTACTTGTGCTTTCTGGGTTGATTAAAGTCTTAGGACCACATACTAAAGAGTTCCTGAAATTCAAAACAATCATCCTATGAGCAGGTTTTTTTCCTGCACCTACCAATGCACCGTTAGGTGGTTTAAGCTTGTAAATATTTTTGTTTTCACTGTTTCAGATGTAGAATGTCCATGGTGACTGCCTGCATGAAGCAAGTTCTGAATGCAAAAAAGCCTTATATTTTATTGTAGTCTGTAGTTGTAGTACATGGACTATAGGTGTTGTTTATTTTTTCAAATAAAGCATTTTTTTGTTAATTGTTACCTGAAAATAGCCAGTGATCTTTAAAAATTGGGGATATGCAGTGGTAAAGGGCTTTCCAGATTTTATAAAAATACTGAATCTATCTCAGTTCATGTGATACTGTAACTATATAAACTTAGCAATATGTGGTTATCTGCTAGCATTAGTATTCACCCCAAGGGTTCCACGTACTGACTCAATCAATGTCAGGGCACCATTAAAAAAAAAAAAAAAAAAAAAAAAGTGGACACTTTCCTGAAAAGCTTACAGCTGAAGTGTGAGGCATTCAAATAGATGGGGAAGTATAGAAATCCAGTAAGACCGTATTACATAGTAATATTCCTATTACAAAAATGAGTACGACACAATCAGTGCTGAAAGTGGGATGGGTGTATTCACCAAGAAAAATACCCATCAAGTAAAAGAGGAGGCACAGGAACTGTTCCTATTCTGTCATGGCAGCACAGAGGCAAATTTTATAGGTAGCATTTGTTATCAGTTCAAGAGACAGTACTCTTTCCTCTTAAAAACTCAGGATTGGTACTGATTTTGGTTATTCTGACCTTCAACTTAAAAGCAAAAAAGAAAAAAAGAAAAAGAGGAGGAGAAACCATAGATATATATAGACAGATACATTGTACAAAACTTGACTAAACATGTAAATGTTTTTGACATTTAACAGTAGCTTCAGTTCAGTCAACAGTGAAGACATATATTCACATTTCATACCTCCTACAGGTTCTGTTTAAGATAATTGTTAAAATGGCAACTACTGTTAAGCTTTAAAAACATTTAAGGAGATAAACAATGGAATTTCACTTGATGAAGTTAGCTCTTTTGTGTGACTGAAGTACCACCTGAATCCAGAAGCTCAACCTGAACAGCTGCTACAGCTGTGTCTGTTGTATTCTGGCTGCTTTTTGCAAATATTGCTACCCTCATTTCAGGTTCAGTCGCCTACCCAGACAAATATTCATAGGGCTATAAGCTTAATGGACAACATTAATTAAATGAGAAGTTAGTGGCCTGTATCTTTATGGCCAGAGTCTTCCCTAGCTTTCCAGTTTGAGCTAGAAGTTTGGAAACACAACTGTTGCTGCTGGATTGTTTTGATTATAAGTAACTATATAAAGCAAAGCATTATTGCTTTATAGTTACAAAATCATAAACTGTGTGTGGGACAGATGTGTGTATCTTCATAGTTCT